GTATGTTCCATCTCAAAAAGCCGGTTGTTAGAGAAATGTGGCGTGTCATGACGTTCATTACAGCAAAATGAATGCCTGCCTGAAAGCATGCAGGAGAACTCATCTTAATGGCTTCTGGTTTAATTTCAGGGTTTAAAATGATCATGTGAGCAAAGAAGCATGGTTCAATAGAAAATGGTAAAATGTCAGCGGTATTAATGAAGCTCGCATTCAGTGACTTGTTACGAGTCTGGAGTTTTCCTAGGTTTATTATCTGGAATCTTGTAAATGTTGCAGGAGCCAATTATTGCTAAATATGTTGGGCCCAATTCATTCCTAGTAGCACTTAATTGGAGCTTCAACAGGAATAGATTTAGTCTATTGTTTTTGGTGGAATTACAAATGAGAAACACGCTTATTGGAAAGGATAATTTAATCTCCCCTCCTACCTCCTCATGGCTGTCTTCAGGAGGTGTTAATGCTGGATTGAAAGCTCTGAGACGATTCTCTGTGGGGTCAAGAGAAGTGTTACTTCTGAGCATCAGGGTTGTTGACTAAAATAAATTGGAGGCTTAAAGTATATAATGAACTAGTGAGTTGACTAATGCATTTCTCCCACCACATGATGCTTCAGTAAGGAGCATGAAGTGCTACACATGACTAGAGTTTGACGAAAACAGCCCCTGGTCAAAAGACTGACATGAGTCATAAACTTTCTCCTTCTCTCCAAGCCAAATTTTCATACGCTATGTTTCAATATTGAACACCCCTTCCCCGAGCTGTACTGAAACGTGCAGGCAGTGCATCCTTATTCTTATGGAGTTGAGAGCACTGTCATGGAGGGTGGTATCTTGTGCGTTTAACTCGTAAAGAAATATGGTTGCACGGGGATAGGACTGACATGCTCAGTAACTCATGAGCTCAAGGAGCTGGATCCTCCTGAGTGGGTCCAGTTGGTCTTCCCATTATTCTCCTTGTTTTATATACATTTAATGCCCCCCAATCCTGCTCTTGTTAAAGCTAGTGAGTTTCTTGTTGGCTTTAACAGGATCAATAGTGGGCCCAAAAGGAGAAGGTTACTGGCACTGGCTACAGTTGTTTGGAGCTTGTGAAGATGCTGGGCATGCTTCCTAGATTGGTAAATGTTAAATCCAGAAGGGACCATTATGATCATCTAGTCTGACCTCCTTCCTAACACAGAACAATGAATTTTGCCCACCCCTCCAAAGCTCTGCCCATGCATTTCAGTCTAGATCTGCAGTGGCACCTTCTGCTGTTGTAGTCCTTGGACATCCCCCCAGCTCTGCTGGTGTACTCCTGTTATAACTGGAACACCTGCTATCCCTTGGTATGTCCCACAGCACCTGCTCAGCACTGTAGTGAGTGCATCTCCATCCCAACCACAGCATCTTCTGATCAGGCCTGCTAACTTTAGGGGAAGCACTTTGAGGTGTAGGGACTAAGCATGAAAGCATTAATCACTTTTAACTTTTCATTGGAAGCCAGATCTCCTGCGCTGAAAGCCTTGTGCACGAATACCCTTTACCACGGGGTCTTTTGTGCAAGGGGTATTTGATTTTATCAGTGTGCAAGGAGCATGCTCTAATTGCTGCCCCAACATCCTTTCTTGTTAGTTTAATAAAACAAATGTGTTTGGGTGACTAAGCTATGGCCTGTTATCACACATGAGGCCTTAATGTGTTCTGGCCCTGTGGAACAGGTCTACAAAGGTCGTGAAATGTTTACATTCCCTAGTTCCTGTCTTGTGCTACTGTGCTCATACATACAGTTGATATGTGGTACCTTGTCCCACCCAGTGTGTCGTGTTTGTTTTTTCTTTTGTCTCGTTATTGCTGCTGGTTAACGAGATACTATCAGGGATAAGTATGTCTATTGCCACAGGAAGCAGATTGGGCAAAAATCCATCTGAAGAAATCATTTAGTATGTGGGTGGGAAACTTGAAAGGTTTCCATTTAAAGATGGTTTGTCTCCATGTTTTTTGTCCAGACAAAAAAAAATCCCCTAGGTTTCACAAAAAAGTGTGTGTGTGTGTGTGTGTACTGGCTGTTGGGTCTGTAGATTAACAATAATGATGTTAACCAAATAAATAGGAATTAATTGAAAGAAGAGAGAATCAAAGAGCCTTTGCCTGCTCCATGACAAGGTATTCACACCTACATCTCAGCTAAGTCAAAAGATTTCTACAAAACTTGTTTTCCATTTTCCATCCAGCTTCACTGTTAAGTGACTATTGTCATATTAGTGACAATGACTTTGAAAGTTCTCTTTAAATGGTAAGTAAATAGAGAAATAGAAAACTAGGACAACTCAGCCACTGGCAATTAACTGTCTTTAAATAATACAATGTTCTTTCAGTAGTTGCCCGAAATAATCTGTATCTGCCTCTGTAGGAAATGAGAACTGATGTCTTGCAGCAAAAGTAGATCTGATTGCAGATAGAGAAATGACCTGTTCTTTTAATATGCAATCCAGCATAGCCTTGCTAATTCATGCGCACACATGGGAGATTCATTGCAGGTTGTTTTGTCATGGCTGTTCACTTCCTAATTCAACTGTAGAATGTGCCTCATTCACCTTGAGGAATGTTCAGTTTAGTTTTAATGATGATGACATTTCATATTGTCTGAGTAAATGTTCTCTTGTATAAGCAAAGCTTTCCTTGTAAGATGAGATCTCAACACATCACTTTTCTCACTGCATCACTTTGCTGTTAGGTCTTGGCTGAAAAGTGGAGTGAGACTGCCAGGTGTTTTTGTGAGGATTATCAGGTGTTTGGTTAATAAGGCCCTACTGGGTGGGATCTGAAACGACTTGTTTTAACTGCTAGGATAATACAGGAGTTCTCAAACTGGGGGTCAGGACCCCTCAGGGATTCACAAGGTTATTACATGTGGGGTCGCGAACTATCAGCCTCCACCCTAAACCCTGCTTTGCCTCCAGCATTTGTAATGGTATTAAATATATTTGAAAGTGTTTTAAATTTATAAGGGGGGGGGTCGCACTCAGAGGCTTGTTATGTGAAAGGAGGCCCCAGTACAAAAGTTTGATTACCACTGGGATAATAGAACAAAACACACTGTGCTCTGCTTGATGTGATACAGCACAGATTGTTACAGTGTAGCTTGGACCATGAGAGTTTCTTGACATTTTTGTTGCAAATTAGTCCATAGAATGCTCAGGAAATGAAAATTGCATTGCCCCAAGGCCTGGGGCTTGCGTTACTTAGTCCTGGACCAATGCCCCAAAACAGTGCTATCTTCAGAGGCCAGTGACAACTTTTACATCAGATATTTCTTGAATGTGCATAGAGTTCAAGGCCAGAAGGGACCCTATGATGATCTTATCTGACCTGCATAACACAGGGCAAAGGATATTCCCCAATAATTCCTGCTTCAAGTTTATATCTCTTGTTTGAGCTGTAGCATATCTTTTAGAAAAATATCCAGCCTTGGATTAGAGATTTCAGGTGATGGCAGCCCCAACCCATCTTGTGTGATTTGTCAGGGTGAGACTTCTGGACAGCAGGAATGTTTTCATGACCCGTTAATGCTCCTGAACTGCTAGTTGGAAATTCTCCAGACATTTGGCTGTCCTCTGTTATCCTACAGATTTTCAATCTGATTTATTTTTAACTAAGAGTTTAAGGAGAAACAGCCTGCATTGTGTTGGATAAACCATTTCCAGAGTGCAAGCAATTATGCTAAGCTCTTCGTTTCTTCCCCATATCCCCAAAAAGATGGTCATATTGCAGCTTCTTTATTTAAATGCAATATAACTGAAGCACAAACCAGTGTAACCAGCACAAACCTAGGCTTATGTCTGAGCAGTGTGAGGTAGCTCAAGACCTTGGGTTAATGGATATTAATCTGAGGAATAAAAAGAGCCTGTAGAATACAGGTGCTTTGAGTTAAATAGTGTCAAGCTGAGTACCATATTCTGTATCATTTTGTTTTTTTATGTCAATTATTTTAATGTAAGTAGATTCTGGAAAATGAGTCTAACAAGAGTAAAGGGTGCACAGGTGTATAAGCATCCTTGCTACAAAAGAAATTGAGCATTATGCTAAGGGGAAGGACATTGGCTACACCTAAATCTTAAAACATGGCCAGTGATTTTTTTCATGATGCTTGCACAGGAGTGAGTATAAAATTCATAGAATATCAGGGTTGGAAGGGAACTCAGGAGGTCATCTAGTCCAACCCCCTGCTCAAAGCAGGACCAATCCCCAACTAAATCATCCCAGCCAGGGCTTTGTCAAGCCTGACCTTAAAAACTTCAAAGGAAGACTATTCTACCACTTCCCTAGGTAACACATTCCAGTGCTTCACCACTCTCCTAGTGAAAAAGTTTTTCCTAATATCCAACCTAAACTTCCCCCACTGCAACTTGAGACCATTATTCCTCGTTCTGTCATCTGCTACCACTGAGAACAGTCTAGATCCATCCTCTTTGCTCAAGTGAAACTACTGGCTGTATTGGGGAATGTTTGGAAACTTCACTCTGGTGTCCAAAAAAGGTAAAAGAGGTTGTCCACTCGTAAATATTACCTCAGATGCCCAGTCCTCTTATAACTCTTCTCTGAACCCCTGTCAGCTTGGTAGACATTGACTCAGCCGGATTGCCGTGATTTTCTCTTCTAAAGATGTTAGTTAACCTGTCGGCTGCCTCCTCTGATTAAGCCTCTGTCTGACTTATTGAGCATGGCAGCAGGGGGACTCTGAGCTGCTGTGCCAGCGATTTGCCCTGCACACCAAAGGATCAATGGCTGTGCCTCCGAAACTAAAAGACTGACACTGATCTGGATTACAGCTGACAGGAAATTGAGCTCTTCAGTGATGGGTACAAGTGGTGGAGAGGAGGAGGGGCTGGCTCCACAGACTTTGCATCAGGATAGGTCTTAGCAGTCTGGGCTGTATATAGAATGGGTGGGTAACAGCCCACCCCAGCCCTTCCTGTAGGGAACACTTTCAGAATGAACCCCCCCCTTTCTTTGTTTCAGGTCTGGCAAGAGGATTAAAAAGACACGGAAGTACGACATAATCACGACCCCGGCTGAGCGAGTAGAAATGGCCCCTCTGAACGAAGATGATGATGATGATGAAGACTCGACAGTGTTTGATGTGAAATACAGGTACTGACATGGGTGGGTCTTGGTTAAAGGCTGCCTCCTGGGTTCTGTTAGCTGGGTGGATGGCTCTTCCTTTCTGCACGCTCACAAAGCCTTGTCAAGGCTTAGCTCTGTCTCTGCTCTTCCCTTCAAACCACAGAAGCTTCACCACTCTCCTCTCCATGGCCCCTGCACCTGAAACCTAGTCTGCTATGCATCCAACCTCTCCTCCTTAAAGCATGTAATTTCCAACAAGCCTAAAAGCCCTAGTCCTCCCTGCAGTGAAGTGCCAACAGAAGAGATGTGTTCAAACAAAAAACTGTATAGAACTGACAAAGGTTAATGGGCTGAACTTCCCTGCTCAATCCTTTGCTGCTTGTTGCATCCCATCCCTGATCCTTCCTCTGTATGTTACATTCTTCCTGTACTCGTATTTGTGTTGAGATACAGCATGGCTAGAGGGCAGCAGGAGAGTGTTAGAAGGGAGCCTTATTCCCTGTAGAGGGAAGAAAGTTTGCTATAGATTAATTAAAGCACCTGAAGCCAGTCACATGATAAAACCCCCCTGCTTCAATCAGACAAGAGGAGGAGTTGAAGCAGAGTGGATTGGCATTGGAGCAAAGAGAAGTTTGGAGGGAAGCAGAGGAGAGTTTGGAGAAGTGCTGCGGTGGGCTAAGAAGACCAAGACCCTAGGTAAAGGGACACCTGGTTTGTGCAGAGGGAGGGCAGGAAGCCCCACAAGCTGAAGGGCAGGAGAGGGAAGTAGCCCAGGGGAAGGAACTGCTAGTTCAAGCGGTTTACCGCTATCCCTAGGGCCCCTGGGCTGGGACCCGGAGTAGACGATGGGCCCAGGTCCCTCCCTCTCCACTCCCCTGCTCTAGGATACTAGTGGGGCAGTTAATACCCCAGTTCAGGGGCAAGAAATGGTGCCCTGAACAACTCCCCCCACCCCACAAGAAGAAAAAGCGCGAGACCCATCATAGTAGTGCCGGCAATTTGCCACAGTGTGTAAAGCGCTTAGCTCACATCTGGTGCTCTTCATAAACAATATGTGTAGGGTCAGGCCCTACCAGTCTAGAGCTGCTTCTCTCCACAGCCGCTGTTGTGACCACGTGGGGGAAAAGCTGACAAGCTTTCACAAATGGTCTCTTGATTTGGGCGTCTCTGGGTCTGAGGCACGCTGGTGGGACTTTGTGTTGGGGAAGCTTGCTTTGCAGATGCCTTTGCTGTATCTGCTCTGTGATAAACAGAGGGCTTCTGTCGCCAGGGCTGTCAATCAGGCCCCACTCAGCAGCATAAAATCATTACTCCCCTTTTTTTTTTTAAGCATTTGACAGCCCAAAGTTTTCAGTTCCTGTCCTGTTAGAGAATTTATAGCAGCCTCTCAATGCAGGTGGGCTCTCGGGCTCTCTGATTTCTGGCGTCAGTGTATTTGAATCTCTTATTTTTATTTGCCTCAGAGTGGTGACAGCAAAAGGGTCAGGTTTCTCATCCAAACAAAGACAGCCAAGATCCATGGTGCTTCGGCTAGGAAAAGCTCTGCTAATGATAAGGCTGCATCTGAATCCAGGCAACTCATAATTAGGAGCTTGTCAGAGACTTGCTCATGTTCCCCCCCCAAGGCACAAATGCCCACCCACACACTCCTAGTTCTGGAGGTGGGGGAAGCAGTGCATTCATTCCAAGGGGCACTCAGTGGGCACTTAAGCATATGGTGCTGTGTTTTGCTTTGGTAATTTTCAAAATAACGAAATACATCTCCCCCTAAAAGAGTTAGTCAGGAATAGGGAGCTGGTGAAGAATGACGGTGAGTCAGTCGTTTTGAGATTTGTAAATAAATAGCTCCCAAACCAGAGTAGTCTCTTCTTCCCCTGGCCAGCTGTCGGAGCTCCATGTAGACTCTCTGTATTGGTGCTCATCCCCGATTAATCATCGGCTGCTCTCTTGGAGAGAGCTGCTGTTGCCACTCCTACAGGGCTTTCACCAATGCAGTTTTGAGCGGTGTAGCGCAAGCTGGCACTAGATCAGGACCATGAGGACCTGTTTGCTGTTGACAAAACCTTTGAGGGGCATGCAGGGTCACTGAAGTAGAATGGTTTTTGGATACTTAAAATGAGAAATGCAGCATTGTTGGAGGGAAAACCAGTGCCTTAGATTTAGAGCTCTGTTACTATGTTTGTATTGCAGTTATGCCTGAAGACCCCAGTTGGAGATCAAGTCCCATTGTAATAGGCACTGTGCGTACGCACACCCCTCAAAGATGGTCCCTCCCCCAGAATGCTTACAGTCTAAGCATCTGAGGAAAGGCAATAGAAGGATACAACAGACAGACAGGGAATCACAAGGTAACAGCAAGGCCATGATGATTAAAGTAAAAAAGCAGCATTCAGGATTTCTTTAATATAAGCGTACAAGTTGGAGTTACTCAAGTCTGGAAAAAAGAAAAGGAGTACTTGTGGCACCTTAGAGACTAACCAATTTATTTGAGCATGAGCTTTCGTGAGCTACAGCTCACTTCATCAGATGTTTACCGTGGAAACTGCAGCAGACTTTATATACACACAGAGAATATGAAACAATACCTCCTCCCACCCCACTGTCCTGCTGGTAATAGCTTATCTAAGCTAGATAAGCTATTACCAGCAGGACTAACCAATTTATTTGAGCATGAGCTTTCGTGAGCTACAGCTCACTTCATCAGATGTTTACCGTGGAAACTGCAGCAGACTTTATATACACACAGAGAATATGAAACAATACCTCCTCCCACCCCACTGTCCTGCTGGTAATAGCTTATTACCAGCAGGACAGTGGGGTGGGAGGAGGTATTGTTTCATATTCTCTGTGTGTATATAAAGTCTGCTGCAGTTTCCACGGTAAACATCTGATGAAGTGAGCTGTAGCTCACGAAAGCTCATGCTCAAATAAATTGGTTAGTCTCTAAGGTGCCACAAGTACTCCTTTTCTTTTTGCGAATACAGACTAACACGGCTGTTCCTCTGAAACCTGTCAAGTCTGGAAGATATGCTTTTTTTCCCTCTTGTACCATTCAGGTCTTAGACCGACACTTGGATAGTGTTAGTATATAAGAGAATTAGGTGAAGTTTTGCATGGGGAAAATTTTGACTTCTGTTTCTGGCTCTGCTGCTAACTTGCTGCATGATCCTGGGCCTCTCTCTGCCTCTATTTACCTTTGTGTAAAATGGGGGTAATTGCCTATCCTTCAGGGACCTGTAGTGCTAACTGCTTGGAAAAGTGGCTTCAAATGATCAGGCAAAGGGTGCCTTAGAAGTGCAGGTATCAGAGGGGTAGCCGTGTTAGTCTGGCTCTGTAAAAGCGGCAAAGAGTCCTGTGGCGCCTTATAGACTAACAGACTTATTGGAGCATAAGCTTTTGTGGGTGAATACCCACTTCGTCGAATACATGTCAAGTCTGTATGCATCCGACGAAGTGGGTATTAACCCACGAAAGCTTATGCTCCAATATGTCTGTTAGTCTATAAGGTGCCACAGGACCTTTTGCTGCTTTTAGAAGTGCAGGGCATTGTTCCAATAAGCAGGATATGCTTTACACCTGGGTGTAGTTCTGACAGACCACCTCCTTGTCCCATTCAAATCCCTCCTGAGATGTGCTGGTTTTGCAGCTTTCCAGTGAATTCTGCAGCACAGGGCACACTCTTGGTGCTTAATAAATAATATAGACAGCATGTTGCACTGTCTCTTGGGCAGCCTCGAGTGTTGGCTTATGCATTGGAATTGCTTGAGCCTGAATTGGGGAGTGGAACTGTCTGAACTTGACCTACTTCTGCTCTGACCGCTTCTACTGCTCTTCCACTCTCTTCCACGAGTTCCAGAGAACTTCCTTTGCAGGCATTTTGGGGCAAGGTTGAAGAGATTTTTCTTAACACAGTGAAAAGGAAAATCTCAGGAAACAGTAGTGCTGTGGGAAAATGCATCCAGTAATGAAACATTAGGCAAGCCCATTGGAAACAATCCGACTTGAGAGTCGTAGCCATGTTTTCTACTATTTTTTTTTTCTTCTCCAGAGCATGTTGTACTGCTGCTTTCGCAGAAATGAACTCAATCTTCTTGGGTTCCTTACAAGAGCAAATGGGCCTTCACTAGTCATAGATACATGTACACATACACACACCCCTCCACTTTGTGTCATACTTACAGTATTACCACCAACGGGATACAGCGACCATAGATATTGTTCACCATCCTATACCTCAGCTTTCTTTATTCTCGAGGAAATTCTAGTACAACAGATATCAAATTCTGCATTTTGAAAACGCTTAGCTACTTTAGGGATGTGGTTCCTGTTCTCCAGCAGTACAGCCCTAGTTTATGGGGAGTTACCATCAATCCCCTAGCAGAATTGAGATGGGGAGAGGTTCTCTGAGGATTTGAATGCTATAAAAAGTAACAAGGTCTCTGAATTGTGTGTGTTTAGATAGAGCAGTCTTCTAGGCAGATCACTGATCTGTTAGACCCTCATCAAAGATTGTATCACATCTCAAAACAGTTTCTACCTTTTCACCAGCACTAAAGTCACAAAGAGGTTTCTTTTTGAAGCACTGGGTTTGTCTTGGGCGTTTTCAGCACGTGTCCCACCATGAAGAGGAAGGATTCCTCAACAGGATCCATTGTCTGAAAAGAACCTTTCCCCAGTTAACCATGTTTCATTAGCAAAAGAAGGAGAAATGGGGATAGATCTCCAGAAAGAGCTGGCTGGGTGCCCTACCTCCGCGATTCCAGTTAGAAGACATCACTAATGCAGCTACTCTTGGAATTCCAAGCGCCATGTCCAGCATCTTGTTCCTTCAGTGAACGGTTGCCTTGTGCTGTTTGCTGCCTAAAGTGCAGACGGCAGCTGACGTGCATGCCAGGAACAGAATAAAATGAAGATCTGACACTTGCACAAACTGGACAACTATACTTTGATGCTTCCAACCTTTTACTGTTGCTCTACAAATAAAGAGGCTGTTCTGAATATTTAGCCAGTATGTATGGTTTGTAACGAGGCTTCATTAACTGCTGCTTTAGCAAGGTTTTATTTTTCTCCCCACCTCCACAAAATCTTGCGGACGCTATAACACTGACATGTTAAGTGAAGCTGCAGCCATTCTTCAGGGCTGATGAACTAGGGAAGGGACGAGACTGCTGTTTCAGCTCATTAGCTAACGAAATTGAGAAATAATGAACCGCCATGAGTGGGACTGAGGACTGGTGGATAACCTCACATGAGAAGTGCCTTCCATGGGCAGGAAGGTCCCTGCTCCCCTCCTTTTTATTTTTCTTCTAAGATTTTTAAATAAATTGAATGCTGACGGGAGAGTGCCTTTCATTATCAGCCATGGCAGTGCTACAGCTTTACTCCACTCGTCTCTGATTATCTTATCATGAAGCATTTCCTTTTCCTGAGCAGCTTTTCCCCTCCTCATACAGTCTCTAGCACATGGGGATATGTCGGCTTTGTCTGCAGTAAAGACTCTTGGTCGACTGATCACTGATTGGATTCCCCGTGCATCCTGTGACATATCACCTGTCCAGACACAAGCATTCCCAACAGTGTGTGGGCGAGCATGCCACCATTTGGACTAGAATGGCTTCAAGCAAGGCCAGCCACCATATGGTCTTCAACTCGATGGGAATCACTGCTGTAATTGCCTCAGTGGTGTAAAGGGTACTCTATCCACTGCTCTGCAGTGCACTGGTCTCCAGGACCCAGAGGTGGCTAATGTGTGCGTGCTGCACTGATGATACTTACACTGATGCAGTGCTACTTCTTGAACTGCCGATGGTTTGGTTCTCTAATGCAGGCCTGGCCATATTGTCACCCTCTGCTATAGTGAAGTCCCATGCGGGAAGGAGAAATCCGGTAATGTTCTGCCATCGCCAGGGAGCTTAGAAATCCATTTGCCACGGAAAAACATGGAATTTGTGTTTTTACAGTGAATCTTTAGTTTTTAAATTTTGTGAAAAATAAAAACATATACAGTAGAACTCTGTTTATCCAAGGAGCCTCCATTATCCAGATCTCCATATTAACCAAACCACCACTGCCTGGGGCTGACAGTGGCTGGGGCTCAGAAGGGCAGCTGGTGGTTTGGTTAATACGGAGAACAGATAATGGAGGCTCCTTGGATAAACAGGGTTCTACTGTATATCAGTAAACATTGTGTTCAGCTGTTACCTATATATAATGTACCTTGGGAAACTAAAGTTCAACGTTTCATTTTAATTGTGGAAAAACACAATTTTTAATTTTTTTCATTGGAGAATTTTGGTTTTTTTATCATGGAAAACTAGGATCTCTGGTCATCAGTAACCTTCTCACAGAAGTAGCCCACAAACCTCCAAAAATTCCTTCTGGTTTCAAAGTAGCACGTGAAATTATCTGTCTGCTGGCTTCCTCGATTCAAACTTGCATCCAGGATGTTGAACTGCAGAGGCCTAACCATGTACATTGGAAAAGGAGAGAGGAATGATTCATTTGATCTTGCTTTTCTTTAGTACGTCTGTTGAGAAGGATTTCAAAGCATTTCGCATAGACAGAAATCCCTGCACAAAGGGTCAGAATGCAAAAGGAGAGAGAACTTGTTTAACAGGCAGTAATATAGAATGGCATATTGGCTTGTATGTACCAGCAAGGTATACCGCTGGTATCCCTACATGTTACTGGGATGTGCCAAAGCAAGACCATAACTTTCAAATATCTGGTGCTCTCATTAAGATGGCAACTGGGCAGATCTCTCCAGCTGGCTTGGAATATCTTTGAGTGAGTCCTGGCACTCTTCTTGTTAACAATCTTAATGGCATTCATGCTGTGTGTGAATACGAAATAACTCTTCTGATTTACCTGATGTTCTGAAGCCCTAAATAACTAGCCTCATATTTTGGGTTCAAAAACTAAATCTGTATTTAACATGTAGGCAAGATCTGTTTTTACATCTCTTCTTCACTTGCTTCTATATTTTGGAGCATAATTGAGATTGTTCTCCCCTTCCCCCATGCAAACAGCATTCTAACTGCAAGCCAATTGCTGCTTAGCTGTGTAGCATCGGCAGCAGGGGAGAAGTAGCACTGATGGATTGTAAGTCTGTTTTCATGCAGTTCATTTTCTTCGTTTGATGCTTTGTCCCCATGTGCAGTGGTTTCTAGCCCTGTACGTGCCATTGAGAAGCAGCAGATGGTGTAAATTGGGCTTCTGTCTGAAAGTTACTTTAGGATTCCGCTGCATCTTTAACATCTTGCCACAGCGGATGTGTTGGTAAAATCCACCCCCTCAGGCTGTGCAACAGTGAACAATAACCACCTTTCATCTGCATAGCTGGCTAATTAGACCACGAAAAATCTTAGCTAAACAAAATCCTGTCTGTGGCTGCTAAAGCCACTGACTGCCTGTGACAAATACAGAAGCATACCTTTATTGGATTAGATTCTCCTGCAATCTCAGGAGCAGGGAAGTGGTTCTGTCAACATCTTCTCTCATCCAGAGAGCGCAGTTTCTTGTGTGACAATAGTCTGAAACGTGTAACACAAAGGCTGCCATAAAGCAGAGATGCAAAACCACTTAGGAAATAACACATGCTTGAAAGCCTCATGAAAACAATTACTAATCTGGAGTTGCGTTTTTGTATATTTTTTTTTAATAAAATAAATTACACTAAAAATTCAAGAATTGACTGACCGGTCTGTGAGGATGGATAATGAATATGGAACCTTTTGTTTCATGATCACTGATGGGTACCATGTAAGAAGCCAGGATAGAATAACGGGAGGGATGGAAGGGGACTTGAAGAGGCAGAATGTAAAAGCCAGAGATGGAATTTTGAGGCCAGGTGTCTGAGATCCCCTAAATAAATATTTAAAACTACAAACATTTCCTGGGTCTGATCAAACCCTCCACCCCTCCCCTAAAATTAGATGATATTCTTCAGTTTTTGAGTACAGATGCTCATTTTTCCTTTTAACAGCAGCAGTGAAAATGAGAGGTGTTTTAGAAATGTGGTATCTTCCAAAGTATTGACTGGTGGTGGTGTTGCAGTTACATATCTGGGGTGCTACAGTGAGTAAGTGGGGCTTTTGTTCAACTGTCAGTATAACTAGCTTCAACCAGAGCGCAATGGTGTAAGCACAGGCTTCTTTACTGGATAGGTAAAGCATAAGTTAAGGTGTCCAGTACAACCTGCACCTTGGTGTCAGGGAGTCTGTAGGACTTGGTACTAAAAAGGTTAGTGCGACATTAGGAGGCCTGGACTTACCACCCTCTGCAAAATGTTCCTTTCATGAGGCAATTTAAAACATCTGCATCAAAATTCTAGGGCCCAGAGTCCTTGCTGTGGCTGAGATGTATGGGGCCTTCTTCTCTGTAAATAATGCAGAGTATATTATATTAATCGCTCTCCACGGAACATATCCCTGCCAGAGCTTAAATGGCATGTGCAGCCTTGACTGGAGTGCTGTACTGTGTGCTTGTTACAGCAAGGTGTTTGGTCTCCGGAGAGTGGCTATAACAGATTTCTTGCAAGTGAAAGCCGGAGGCCTCTTCTGTATGATGCTAGGCTGTTTAAATGTGTGCGGTTTTTTTTCCAGTAGGCAGAGTGGGGAAAGGCTCTGTATAAACGGAGGGTATCTTTTATTCTCATGTGAAGGGGTGAAAATCACAGTAACTCATTCAGTCGCTTACTATAAATACAACAAATTGCCTGGAGCATTGGTGCTGCTGTTAAGGGTTTCCTGGCCAGGTGCTGCTGTGGATTGCCAGCGCCAAGGGGCCAAAAGGCATTTTTGAAGCCTGTGTTCTTTCCCCGTTAGGCTAGATGTGCTATGAAAATTAGTGCTGAGCACAGAGGCTCCCTGGTGGTTCCTTGGCTTAATATGCATAAGTGCTGCGGTTGTACCTAAAAGTTCTCCTGACTCCTGTCTGCTGTAACTGCCCCTGCTGAGGCAGCTGCATCTCTTCTCTGGTTTTTACCTTGTGGGTGCGTGGTGGAGGGAGGGGAAATGAGGGCTCCAAGAAGAAAATGGTCTGTGTAGCAAGCAGAAGGACCCCAAGTGAACCAGTTGCCTGGGGAAAACTTCCTTTCTCGGGGGGTGCTCAAAGCTGTCCCATTCCAGGAGAGCAGCCACAGACTGTGGCTGTGATTGATTTAATTCTTATCCCTGAGCTTTGCCTGTTGCTCAGAGTGCTCTGGCTAATTTCCATATGCAGAAAATCAAGTCAGTGACCAAAATCACCACAGAAATCAACCCCTGCTTGAGGGACCCAGTGGTGGATAGTATTGTTGTTTCTTTTGTTTTCCCACTTGTACATAGATTCCCATAGTTGCATATGATCTATTTAATAACAAAGCTTCTCTGACCATACTAATTCTTTTTCCTGGCTGTCTTCCTTGCCAGGTAAAGCCGTTGCATGGAGCACCGGTTCCCTGTGAGAAGTCAGTCAGCTGTCGAGAGCCCTGCTGAAGCTTAACTGTGAAGGAGAAGCTTTCATCTCTGCAATATTGAAACCAAAACAAACATTGCTGCCTCCGTGATGTTATTTATACAGCACACAGCAGCAGGGTGTTTGATTCTCTGCCCAAAATGTCACCATTAAACTCCTGGTTTCCAAACTTCCACAGTAGAATGACCTGAGATCCTCCTCGTAGACTCTGCTCTGTTGCTTGAAGAGGCTGTGGGGTTGCTAAAGCATATGGGGTGGATACAGCACTGTGTATAGACTTTCTGCACTCACTGGTCCAAATAAATTTTTGTAAAAGGTGGGGGAAAACCCCAAAATTAGACCCCAAAAGACTTTTTCCTCTAAAAGCTGAATCAGATACTTTTGGTCTCTGTTAAACAGATCTTGTGTTTTAAAGACTTGGAATTGTATGATCCTGGACCTAGAGAAATACTTGCCCATCTGATGAAGGCTGGTGGCTGAAACTGTGCTGAAATGTTACAGTGTGCGTGGTGTTGGGTTCTTTATTTTTTTAATTTTGTGACTGTTGTAAAAAATTGTAATGACTTGCTACTGATTTTAACAATTGCACTAAACCCTCCTATAATGATGTACTCGTTTTCCAACAGAGCTCTGGTCAGACTTAGTTAAATAACATGAGACCATAGGGAAGCAGAAAAACTAGGCAAATACCGTACTACAGAAATCTTGGATTAGAGGAAATAGATGTCTATTTTTGTAATTCCCCGCCCTTCATAGGAAGTAAGACAACATTTTTTGCCATCTTGTGTCCTCTCCTGGCTGTAACTCTTCTGCTACTCAAATTTTTAATCAATCTTTTTATGAAAGATCTGATACGCGGTTGTTAAATTTCAGGAAGAGAACACTGGTTCTTCCTGCCCCCTTCTCCTTGAAAGCATTCGTGCAAAGAATCCTCTCTGCACCACCCTGGAAATCTGCCCGCCGGCTGGCTGCCAAATCCCATATTACACTAAGATATGTTTTTCCCCTTGCTATCTACAATGCTTCACACTGGTAGAGCTGTCGGATTGCTATTTTAAAAAAACTAGAATATCTGTAATCTAGGCTGATTAAGATCCATAGCCTATGAGTTCTGTGCATAAATTCAGTGCCATTCTTTGAAAGCTCTGAGTTCAAAGTTATTGGCATGGTTGTTCTGTTTTACAGTGTTCTTGAAAAGCAACTACAGTTCTGATGAGCTTTGCTTGACATATTGACACTCTTATTGTGTGTTCTGCCAATATTTATGTCAAATACCCTTTTACTTTAGGATTTTAACCCATTTGGAGCCTCTCTTGCCTTTATGATGTTAAAATTACCTCCTGTTTTTGGAACGTACCAACATTTGCTTGACTCTTTTGGTAAATTCTGCAATTTGCTTGGTGGGTTGTGACTGCTAAGAGTCTGTTGCAAAGCTGCCTCTCTGTAATGACTGCTCAAAGGCTGCTCATGGAATTCTTGATTTGTTATCATGACAGTAGGTTATACTACTCTCACTTGTTCGGAGCACTCCCAAGGCTTGCACCCTGAAACAGCCTGGTATAGATGCTGCACTCTTTCTTCACTCCACTTTGGCTCTTTGCAAGAAGGCCTCCGTGTTCTGCAATAGCAGTTTGCATTGACAAAAGCAAAATTGTAGTAGTCTTCTGATGAGCATACAGTGCAGTTTGGTGGTGTCCCTCTGAGTCCTTGTCTGATGTAGCCCCTACATTCTAAATTCCTTTCCCCTTATCTGCTAAATGAGAGTGTTCTGTCACTCCATGTTTCCTCTTTAAAGTGTAGCAATGGTCAGAAAAGTGACAGAGTAAAAAGTTCACCTTCATATTCAACAGATCAACTTCCTGTGTGTCTGATTTCATACCTGCTTGCTTTATTGGCCTGTGCATTTTTATTCATAGTGACTATGCGGAGCTTACACAGCTCTGGAAGAGCGAACTGGATTCCATTCTGCTTTATGAATCTTTAGCTAAACTTTTGAGTTCCAATGGTGGAATTGTTATTGCTGGTGACAACATGATAGGCAGAACCCAGCTGTGTTTTCATATCCCAGGTGGCGTTTCCAGCACTGGCAGTTAGCAAAACCGGCCTCTGTTGACTTGGAGTACATTTGCTGTGGGAGACCGAGAATGCAAAGGAAGCTCCTGATGGGATTTCTGGTGTTATTTTTCAGACTGTTAATACACTTTTAAAGTGGATCATTTGTTGGGAGAGAATCCCATTCTGTACAGAGCAATGTGGCGAATAGTATCGTGCATTAAAAGAGGGAACCAAGGCAGTTGGAAGTCAATAAAAGGTGGTGGTGGAAAATTCTTTGACACAATTGTGCTTTCGTCTGAACTCTACCACGAGAGTATTCAGCAAAGGCTTCACAGCTGGACCATGTTGGAAAATTCCCAAAGCAGAACTAATATTAGATACCCAGGCAATATCAATATACTATTTTTATCCTTTATCATGGAGTAAATTCAAGTCACTCCATAGTGCTGTTATTGAGCAATATTTAATGTGTCAGCTAAGAGGTAAAAGGTGGAGAAATTGATTAGGGTAGGTCCAAGCGCACTGAGCTCCGGATTGCAGGAACCGCAAGAGGCCCATAGGCTAGAATGACCCGCTATGGCTTGGGAACACTTTCAAGACGGCATGTTACAGAAATGGACTAGGTGGCTCTCAGTAGACAACGTGATGTCCCTTTGGAGTTGGTAAAGCACTATGAAGAAGAGCTGAGTTATGGGAAGTTCTTGGACAGGTTGAGTCCTAAAGTGAAAAATGGCAATGCTGGGTAGAAGGATAGGTTAAAGCTTCGATTACCTTGTTGCTGAAGGGGGAAAAGAGGGTGGCATGGCTACTCTCTCAATGAAAGAGCCATCATGGCATTGTGTTTGGACATCCCTTTCAGAGGAGAATTTATGAAGAGCATCTGGAGCTCCAGAGGACATGTCCTTGGTCTGCCATGGCTTGTCTGGAGTATCCTGAACTTTTTCTGGGACCGAGGGCACTTTTTACTGCTGAAGACCAGATCCAGGTTCTGCAGATGTAGAGAGAGGAGGAAATAAGGCCAGTTTCAGTTTACCTAGTCTTTCAGATGGTCTGAGCTAACTCTTGCTGAATTCAGTGGGAGTCTGTCACTGGGATTTGTCAGGCTCTATGAGCACTGCTGAGTTTAAGTAGGTCAGAGGCAGTCTGCCTGACTTGCCTATTGCTAACAACCAAGGTTGTTTCTGTAGTCCTCCAGTGAACCTTTTGGTGGGGAACAATGTGATTGTTTTTGTTTTTTTTCTCCCCGCCCTCCCCCCCCTTTGCCCCAAAGGCACCAAGGATGTAGGTGCCCAACTCTCTTTGGAATAAGGACAACTAACTCCCTGGGGCTCCTTTGGTAAAACCCAACCCTTGTATATAAACTAATGGAGGCCGGAGGAGAAATGGCTGCCTGATGAAGGAAATCAGGACACCTTTTCTAGTGTCAGTCAAGGTCATGTCAATGAACCTAAATGCTTGCCTGATGTTAAATTACTATTGTAAACATGGGACGATATTTACCTCTTTCTAAAGGTCACTATATGTGATTTCAGATGTTTGTCTAGCTAAATATTTATATAGGTTTATTTCAGTTAAGACTTTAAGAGAACTTGATGTAACTCATCTCTATAGTGTGTGTGTGTGTGTATATATATATATAAATTGTGTAGGTGGTAATTAGTTACAACATAGCTTAAATGATTTTGGACTATCTCATTTTAGGTTTCTGTTGAAGCACGGCTAGCCATTAACCACTACATGGAAGTAATACATGTTGTGTGTGTCTTACACTGTAGAGTTCCAGTCTGGTTGCTGTTGTAACCTGGTCAGTGTTTGCAGCTCTCTGTGTTGCATAGTCTTAAAGTTGCTTTGGCAGAGAATGGTTTTTAAAGGCCCTTTTTATTTTATAGAAAATGGAGAAACACTACTATAGAACATTCATGTTAAATTTAACTTACTACTCAGCAAAATACACTTTAAGTACGAGTTTAATCAAACCAATAGAGAGCAAGTAAACTAAAGGCATTTTTACTGGAACATGCCACAACGCGGAGAAATACCTTGCTTGTGACAAATTACAGTCTCCTTACTCTGCTGACCATAATTCTTTTTGGGGAGGTTCCATTTGAGAACCCACAAAGCTCAGCTGATCAAAGGCTGTCCCCAGCTCCTTTCTCCCTCTGGGTCTGCTCTTCTGAGAGAGAGGAATCACTTGTGTAGAACTACATGCCTATATGGCCCTCTCAGCAAGCTGAACAAGGGACAAGGTCCGTCTCACCAGAAGGAGTAAGTTGGAACTGGATGTGACTTTTTCAGCAAAAGGCTGAAATGATTGCAGACCCTTTTTATAATCCTTGCTAGTTTATAACACTAAGTTGCATACATCAGACTTTATTCCAAGCACAAACTGACTTAATGTCAGTAAATGAGAGCACAAGCTGGAGTGTATTTGGAGAGCCAGTTTTGTAAGTATATCCTCTGAATTACTGTTGATAATGTAATTTCATCAGGGTGGAGATTGTGGATTTAAGATTTCTCTTTTCAGTTTCTGCTTCTGCCGGTTTTGTATGTGGCTTTGTAAGAACCATGCAATCACCAGGCCATTGATGAAAATGTTGATTTAGAATTTGCCCTTGTGACCAAAAGCTTCCATTAAAAAAAATGGTAATGCAAGTTTGGATGGACAATAGGAACTGTTACATGTTACAATAGGAACTGTTGTTATTAAATATGTTCTTGTATAAATCCACCCCTGAGAGCTCTGTTTGGGAAGAGGGCAGGGGTGATAGGCCTTTCTTGATAAACTAAACAGTAATAAGTCACCAGGACCAGGTGGTATTCATCTCAAGGAACTCCAATGTGAAATTGCATGACTACTAACTGTAATCCGTAATCTATCATTTAAATCAGCTTCTGTACCAAATGACTGGAGGATAGCTAATGTGACTCCAATTTTTAAAAAGGGCTCCAGAGGCGATCCTGGCAATTACAGACAAGCCTGACTTCAGTACTGGGCAAACTGGTTGAAACAATAGTAAAGAACAAAATTGTCAGATACATGGATGAACATAATTTGGGGAATAGTCAACATGGTTTTTGTAAAGGGAAATCATGTGTCTCCAATCTACTAGAATTCTTTGAGGGGGTCAACAAGCATGTGGACAAGGGGGATCCAGTGGATACAGTGTACTTAAATTTTCAGAAAGCCTTTGACAGGGTCCCTCACCAAAGGCGCTTAAGTAAAATAATTCATCATGGGATAAGAGGGAGGGTCCTCTCATGGATTGGTAACTGGTTAAAAGATAGGAAACAAAGGGTAGGAATAAATGGTCAGTTTTCAGAATGGAGAGAGGTAAATAGTGCTGTCCCCCAGAGGTCTGTACTGGGCTCAGCCCTATTTAACGTATTCATAGATGATCTGGAAAAAGGGGTAAACAATGCGGTGGCAAAATTTGCAGATGATAAACTACTCAAGATAGTTACGTCCCAGGCAGACCGAAGAGCTACAAAAGGATCTCTCTGAACTGGGTGACTGGGCAACAAAATGGCAGATGAAATTCAATGTTGTTAAATGCAAAGTAATGCACATTGGAAAGCATAATCCCAACTATACATATAAAATGATGGGGTCTAAATTAGCTATTACCACTCAAGAAGAGATCTCGGGAGTCATGGATAGTTCTCTGAAAACATCCACTCAATGTGCAGCGGCAGTCAAAACCGTGAACGATGTTGGGAATCATTAAGAAAGGGATAGATAATAATAGGACAGAAAATATCATATTGCCTCTATATAAATCCATGGTACACCCACATCTTGAATACTGCGTGCAGATGTGGTCACCCCATCTCAAAAAAAAAAAAACATTTTGGAATTAGAAAAGTTTCAGAAAAGAGCAACAAAAATGATTAGGGATATGGAACTGCTGCGGTATGAGGAGAGATTAGGAAGACTGGGACTTTTCAGCTTGGAAAAGAGATGTCTAAGGGGAGGGATGTGATAGAGGTCTATAAAATCATGACGGGTGTGGAGAAAGTAAAGAAGGAAGTGTCATTTATTCCTCATAATACAAACTGGGGGCCACCAAATGAAATTAATTGGCAACAGGTTTAAAACAAAGGGAAGTATTTTTTTCACGCAACGCACAGTCAACTTGTGGAACTCCTTGCCAGAGGATGTTGTGAAGGCCAAGACTATAACAGGGTTCAAACAATAACTAGATAAATTCAGGGAGCATAGGTCCATCAATGGCTATTAGCCAGGATGGGCAGGGATGGTGTCCCTAGCCTCTGTTTGCCAGAAGCTGGGAATGGGTGACGGGATAGATCACTTGATGATTACCTGTTCTGTTCATTCCCTCTGAGGCACTTGGCATTGGCCACTGTCGGAAGACAGGATACTGGGCTAGATGGACCTGACCCAGTATGGCTGTTCTTATGCTCTTAAGAGAGAAGGTGTCACTGGTGAAGTTCAGTCAATATAAAGGGGAATCTTGCTTTGTCCCCCAATAATGATGACTCCCAGAATCTAATGTGCAAGCCCCTTTGTCCGGAGGTCCAAAGTAGACAGATACAAGGAAGGCAACACAGGCAACATGGCGCAGTGACCGGCTGTCTCAGGGAAGAAAATGAATCAACACAATCCACGTTGGTCCTCACCACAACTCAACTCAACAGCCTGGAATCATGCAGACAAAAGTCACTGAGTTTTCTTCAGCTCCTAGACAATAGGATGAACATTTTGCAGCTCACTGAATCCACCTTTGCTACCCTGGAGCCTGCATACCTGGCTGCCCCAAGCTTCCAAGCTTTTTTGCCTTTGAAAGCCTTTGAGCTGGGCCTTTTTCACCCCACCCACTGGGAACACGGCAGCCTGTGGTTTCCCTGAGCGGGATGCAGACTAACCTAATTGCAGGCAGCTTTTAGGGTAGTCTCTTTTGTTTCCCATTTTTAAAGGGAAGCCCACAGGTTTCCCGTTTGTGAAGCCAGGATCCAGCCTACCCGACATGACTGGATTGGGTGTTCGTGAAGGGCTCAGGTGTTTAGGTGCAATCACTCTGGCAGTGCAAAGTATCCTTGTTATGCTGGATAATAAAGCTGTGGTTCAAGACAGCTTAAGGGGTTTGTGTCAGATACATGCTTTCTATCGATGCTACTGTCATGGAGGCGATAGTCTGCTTAGGCTCTTCACGGGCCAGTCCTCTTCTCGTACAACCCTTATTTCAAGTACAGTCTTATACCTTTCTAGACCCTAGAGTAATGTGAAGAGAGCCTGCCAACAAAGGATTATTGTATGCATCATCCCTTGCATGAGCCAGTTCGCTGCCTCTCCCTGTTGCATCAGATTGTCTTGGTCCTGACATTTTCATTTCTCACTTGATAACAATTGCAGTAATAGTCTAAAGGTAATTCTGTGCTGCAGACAAAGAGCAGCTGCTGTTCAGTTGGTGTCTCTTAAATTATGTCCTGCTGCCTGCAAAGTGAATTTAAACATCCTGATTCATAATAAACCTATTAAAATGCCATCAGGATTCAGCCACCAACCACAACAGATCAGCTGTTTTGCAGCTCTTTGTGGGGAGGTGAAGGCCATCTTTGTTATACTTGTTATATATATTGTTATACTTTCCTAAGGTATTTAATTCACTCCTGGTGGAGCAGGGCATGAAGCCTAGAGGTTTGTGACAGAAGCAGCAAGATACTAAATTGAATATTTTCATGCAGTTTGCACTGTGCTCTCAGGAAAGCTACAGAGCTGGGAGGATCTCTGTCCCAGTTTTGGGCTGCAGACATAAGGAGACCATGTAATGAGAGCAGGTAGCTAATACTGTTTCTGGGTTGATTTGTGAATACTGAATTCATTTCCAGGCAACTTCTCATTAGAAAGATGGGGACAAATGGGAAGGAGCTTGGAGAAGAGAAGCTAAAATGATCATGGACCTGGAGAAAGAGATGTGTGAGGAAAGATTAAGAGTTTAAAACATACAGCTTGGCAAAGAGACTCCAAAGGCTGGGGCTGTAGGTGGGAAGGGAAGGCAGGCATAATACCACAAATATTTGAACTCTACAAATACCATGGAGTCAGCTTGACTTATTTGGGGTGTATAAGTAGGAGTAATGGGATAAATGTGAAAGGGTATTACTAAGTTGTTTGATTAATTATTAAAAGCTAAGTTTTCTGACGGAGCTTGCCCTGCCTTTTTGTTTAGATGTTTTAAAAATAACTTTTCTCCTCTGATGTTTAGAAGGATTTTGCATGGTGCTGAGGGTAATGCCAAATGCACTTCAGCCCTCTCCCTTTCTCAATGTGCATGTGTCTGCCTGCTGCCTTTTTGGTTTCAGCTCTGCTGCTGTAGCTGGTAACCACACTTGTGCTGTGCCTAGGACAGGGCTTGCATTGTCAATGCTGACTTGGATGCAAAGTGGACAAACTGAAAAAAAAAAAAAGTTTTTTCTCTCATACAGTGGTGGTGATCGTAGGGATAACAATAACAGCAATAAGAACAAAACTTGGGTGGCCGTGGTTTGTGATGCCCTTCTTTAAAAGGGTTGAATATTGAAGAGCTGACTCATTCCTGACAGTGAGATCTATTAGAGTATGAAACTGTTTCCAAGGAAAATAGTGGAAACCCTAATTTGCTTGGGACACTGATAGCTCAGCTGGATTAGTAAAGTTAAAAGCATAATAGTGACTTGGCAGGGGGATGGACTGAATGACCTGATACAAGAGGTTTCTTCTACCTCTAATTTCTAGCATGAATGTTCTCCCTCTGCAGTTGTTTGACAGTATCTCATAAGGGCTTAGTTTCCCAGTGACTACTCATTCATGGCTAACTAAATTAGCTGAACGTGCTTAAAAGATTTATCTCCTCACTGTATTTTCCACTGAATGCATCCGATGAAGTGAGCTGTAGCTCACGAAAGCTTATGCTCAAATAAATTGGTTAATCTCTAAGGTGCCATAAGTCCTCCTTTTCTATTTGCCACTTAGTTTTCCTGAAGCAGTTGTTTTTAAAGCTGAAAGGCAAAATAAAAAATAGATAAGGTCCTTTATTGCTTACAATGTGTAAGGTTGATTTCTAGGCTTTTTCTGCCCTGCGTGTGTGTGGTTTTCTGGTTATTTACATGAGCTCTAACTCCTCGTTCCTGTTTGCTGGACGACTTTGGAGGACTTGAATGGTGCATGAGGCTCTCTTGAGTGCTGTGGCTCATGATCCCCTCACCCAGTCCAGAGATCTACTTCATCACTGGTCGAACCCCTCCCAGCTTGGTATCATCTGCAAACTTTGGCCAGGACAAGCACCTGTCTGGGATGGTGACTCTAGGTAACACTTAGTCCTGCTTCAGTGCAGGGGACCGGACTAGGTGACCTGTCGGGATCCTGTCAGTCCTACATTTCTATGATATTTCTGGTGTAGTGGAAGGCTAACCCTGAAGGAGTTAAACTACGTTACTCTAACAGGAGAACACAAGTAAATTCTTAATGTTCCAGTTCTGTCCTAATTACTGCCATTTTAGAGGAGACACCACAAAGCATCCGAAAATCTAAGCTGCAGATTCTTACACATAACAGGAATTTTATGGTAGGGTGAGGAGTATCTCAGAACTTCAACCACAGAATGGGAAATAAACTAGATGACCTACTGTTAGAGCTCCATTTCTACCTACAACCGTCCATGTTTCAAACGGTGTTAGCCTTGCTTCTACATATTCTACATCTATGGCCCCCAGCATTGTCTTATTTGAGCACCTTTCTGACTCTTCTTGGTTTGTATTACCTGTCTCTCTTTAAATATGTAACTTCAATTTATATTATTACACAATCCTAAAGTTTATTGTTCATCAACTACCTTCCACTCAGAACCACTTTGTTGTTTCATAGATTCTTAAAGCTAGAACCGCCTTTGTGACCATCTAGATTCCTGCACCAAGACCAGTGATTTGTAGCTGAAATAATAATGATGGCAGTATTCCCATTTTATAGATGGCACAGAGATGACAGTGACTGGCCTAAGGTCATAAGAAGTCCGTGATTGAGGCAGGGATGGAACCTTTTTCTCTCAGCTCCCCTAGTTCTAAGGCTGGACCATGTTAAATCTTTGAGCTGAAACTTGCATGCAAAGAGCAGGCATCTCTTCGGGCTGTGGGAGGAGATGAGAAGGGGCATGCATTTGCTTGTGTATCTCATATCAACCTTGAATCTTGTATCAGCCTCAAATAATCACTGTGCTGATGACAAGTGGAAAATGCTTCATCCATCTTAGCTCTTTCAGTCAGTGCCCCTGCAGCCTTTGCCACTGAGTTCATGGGCTGCCCCTGCTTCCTGGAATAAGTAATTTTTTACTGTATGTGGCCTTTTCTCCAACAGGCTGCTGCCCTGACATACATTTAGTTGGAGAAAAGGTTATTTTATTTTTTTAAAAAGATACCACCTTTCTCCTCATTAGCTTTGGATTTGTAAAGGTTTAGATCAGGTTAACAACATTTGACATCTTCCTACTTCATTTCTGCTGGCACATGCCTGCAAGAGTCTGTTACAGCAGTGCCCCTTGGGCAGTGTCAGAAATGATTGGTCTTTCTCTCTACTGTTTTATGTACCGCTGAAGAGACGGATTACCCACCATAGTATCCAAGGGCTTCCCAAGTGAATTAGAATGGCATAGAGGGTGTGTAGGGGATTTAATGAATTTTTTTCACTATTGTCCCTTCCGTGGTTACACAACCCAAGCAGAGTCTTCTGTATGAAGGCCTCAATCCTGTTGGTTATGATGGAAAAGCTTTACCAATGAGGGCCATTCAGCATGTCCTGAAGGTGGTCACTCTTCCTTGCCCTCAGACAGAGTGAGAGACTCTCGAATGCAGTCAGTCAACTTGTGATGAAACTTCTGTCACTAGCACTCAAGCTATCTCCCCTCCAGTTGTTATGGGGTCAGCCATGAACTAGCCTCACTGGTGTGGACAAGGCTGGTGCAAAGGAGGTCTAAGGGCCATTTCTTTGATAGCTGAGTACCAAAAGATTGTTATAAGGTCCTACTAAACCAATGACAGATTGGTCTTGTCAGAAAAGCATTATTCACTACCAGAGCTTTCGGGGAATGCTCAGGCTCCATTAACCTCCGGGGTCTGCCCATCATATCAAATCAGTCATCCCAACAGGAGCAGAATGCCTAGCCTGGAATCACAGGAAGTGATGGTCAGCCCATGGTACAGGTGAAATTTCCAATTGCCCAAGCTCAAACTATCCCAGATATTAGATCAAAAGTGTATTCCAGATGTCCTGCTACTGAATATGGAGGTCTGGCATCCTGAGACTACATATCCCAGCATGCACTGCCCTCTCGATCTACGAGAGCACATTCCGAGACCTGTATTGAGGCTGTTTGAAAGCCAAATATATTGTAGTAGGATTAGCACTCCCAAATCCTGCTGAACTTAAATAAAATGATGATTAGTAACACTCAAGCTATTTAAGGAATTGGCGTGGTTGGCACTAAACAGCTGCTTTTTACTGACCTGTTCAAGTCGACAAATAATGTTGTCCCTGCATGGCTATGTAATCATTTTAAATCACCTATTTACTGCACATTGTTTGTTCATGTTTAAAGAAACAAATGGTTTGTTCTTTACTTCTGATAGTGGGTATGTTAATTATTCAGCGTTTGTTATTTGTGGGCTATAAAGGCAATCTGAATTTATTTTCATTTCTTCTATGTATAAAAGCTGCAGGGTGTACTTTTATGTTCCCGCAGCCAAGAATTTGTGGAATTGACTAATAGTCTATGTTGCATATTTATAAACACTATTATTATTTATTAATGGAGCATTTCAGGAGTAAGTTTATAATCCTGCCACATAATACCAGCCTTTCAAAATGAAACATTCATGTAAAAGAGTCAAACTAGAGCTGGCGTAACAAAGGAATGAGTGAGAATAACTCATTAGTGCGAAAGCACAAGGGGGGGAAAAGAGCTTCTTGCAAGGATGTATATGTTTTAAAAAAGACATGAGAAGTTAACAATAGAACTGTGTCCCTGGAGACTGATTCTGGGACTTTGGTGGGGGTGTAACGCTCTCTCTCACAGTGTGGCCCTTTGCCCCCCTCGAGTGGCCAGACTGTGTATTTGCACTAAAGCATTTAAACCTGGGGCACCAAACCTTCGGCCAGCGGAGGAGTGCATTGGCTGCTCATCCAGGTGCAGAGAGTTCTATTAAGTTTGAGTGGAAGGAAACAAGTGGAAGCAGCACTTGTCTTTAACAGAGGGGGGAACTGTTGAGATGACCATTCCTAGCACGCGATGCTGGGTTTTGATACAAGCAATCACGGGGATCAAGATGGAACATTGCATTTGGGGAATAATCTTAATTTAAGGGTTTATCCTGCTGCCCGGTGCTGTAGCAGGAGTTCCTTCCATATAAGATGAGTTCAGATCTGGCCACCATTTGTATAAACCAGTACAGTACGTTAAACCAGCTAGACCTATAGAACACTGGTTCTCAAACTTATGTGATTGCACCCCCCTTCTGTGTGTCTGGAGTAGTTTATGCCTCTCCCCACCGCACAAGTACCTCTACCAATTTAAAAAAATCAACTTGCAACTCTCTCTAAATATTAAGCTATCTTGTGCAAGCATTTCTGAGCATAAAACACAGTGGTTGCTCCATATTTTCAGTCCTCAAGTAGCGAAGCAGTATTGTATGTCTTCCTCTTGCTAATTCCTCCATTTGACTTTATGCTGTGTCATGGCCTTATCTTCACTGTTTGTGTGGCTTGCTTCTCAATATCTCCCACCTGTGGTGGTGTGTCACTAGATCAGTTTCGGCTTCTTTGTTTTTCACTTGAGGGTTTTTTGTTTTTTTTTCCATTCTGTTGCACGAATGAGCCAATGATCCATGGTAATAAGAGCAAAAGCAAAACTGTGGTTGTGGTTGATGCTTACAATCAAATGTTCACACTGTATCGTAGCAAACAGATGAAGGTACACTTATCGTGGATGGATGCTCGATTTAGCATGTCTAGTGAAGACCCTCTAAATCGACTGCCAATCGCTCTCCTGTCGACTCTGGTACTCCACCAGAACGAGAAGCATAAGGTAAGTTGATGGGAGAATTTCTCCAGTCGACCCAGTGTGGCTTAGATACTGCAATAAGTCAACCTAAGATACGTCTACTCCTGCTATGTTATTCATGTAGCCAAACTGAAAAATCCTAAATTTACTAAATCTACTCCAGCTACGTTATTCATGTAGCTGGAGTTGCGTAACTTAGGTCGACTTAATCCTGTAGTGTAGACCTGCCCACTGACACCAACAACTTTGTATAATGCTATAATGTCAATATGCACAGTGCCACCTAGAGTCACATGCACAGCACCATCCGAAATGTCCTGGAGGAATCAGCTTTGCTGGTTAATCATTGCTGTGGGTAAAATGTAGCTTCTCTGCTATGGAAGATTCATGCACCTGTTGGTTAAACTCCCTGCTGACCAGTTATCAATATGGGTGACCAGAAGACATGCTATTTCCCTGGGCGCTTTGTTTGAGTAAACATAGGTCTAGTGAGGTCTGGATTTGTCTGAAAGGCAGTGGATACTGGCTGTGCCTGGGCAAAATAAGTCTGCTTCTTGGTGGAACATTTGCCAGAAACAGGCAGTCTAGCGGAGGTGCTGCTGAACGAGCAGATGGCATGCGTGGGGACGTTAGATTTAACATTCTATTAATTTCTGGCCAATGAATCCTTAAGATGCACAAGGTGTTCTTCATACTTACTGTGCTAATTGCTTTTCCCCGTTTGCCTGAGTGGGAATAAAAATCATTGGGCCAGATCCTGCTTTGCTACGCTGGTGTAAATGTGGAGTTATTCCATTGATTTCAGTGACAGCAAGACCCTGGTCTGTATTTTCTATGCCTGGATAAAACACAATCTAGTCATCTTTTCATACAGCTGTACACGAGACTATAAACAGACACCACGCTGGCAACTGTAGGAAGGATGGTCCAGCAATCGAGTACTCAGGCTCAGGACTTAGTTCCCAGCTCTGTCACAGATTTCCTGGG